CACTAGGAACGTATCCGTGAACAAGCAGGCACTTGTCTACCAAGGGCCAATGGCCAAGGGTAGAAGGGACAATGGGTCTTCTTGGTTCCAGTCTCTGAATCTCAGAGATCTCAGTCAACAGGACAAGAGCATGTCAGATACACGCCTGACAAACCAGTAGCCGTGAAAACGGAAATAGGGAGACATTTAAAAATTGTTACCTTCCCTATCACCCTGTAATACAGAAACTTTTTCCCCTAAAAAAAAAAAATCTCATAAATAGTAGTTACAATCCTGATCAGCCAACAAAGGGAGATCTAGTTCACTCTACAAGATCTGCTGTATGGTTTAAAAAGTATATTTCCACTTGAAAATTAGTTTGTTATAAAAGAAGGTAATATAACAGTAACACTGTTCAACTTCAATATGGATTAAACAAGTATTTGTGGATTCATAAGCAAAGGGACCACTTGTGGAGCATTTAATCTATCAGGAATTATTGTCAGTTCCAAACAAACACTTAGAATACAATTCACTTCTAAACTAGAGACTGCCTACACTATGTAAACCTAGTTGATGAGTCATAGAATAATAGTTCAAAATTACTAAAATGTTTGATTAAGGTTCAAGACTAGAAAAACAAAATCAGCAGTTGGAGTAATTCAAACTTTAAAATCAAGCATAAAATATAACCTGTGATTTATATTATCTAAGCATCAGTAATGATACGCACTGAAATCTGCAATTGAAAACAAAAACTGAAGACATCACAAGAAAGTGTTTGGTCAAGAACAATGAAGACATAGGCTGGCTTAAGCTTTCCCACCAAAACACTGGATATAAAAACATCATACACAACTAAAAAGACTGGAATGTCATTCTGAAAATAAACAAGAAACAAAAAAAATTATCAAACGCATAGTAAAGTAGCTGTGAGATAAAATTATTTCTTTACTGGGAAAATATAGCTATTTTATTCTCATTAAGAAATAACATTTTATATATTTTTTCCTGCAAGAAATAACTAATAATATAAAAACAGCATCTTCTTAGGCAAAAGACCCTAAATTCCTAATTAGCAATATTCCTTGGTATTCCTAATTACTGGAAAATACAAATTAAAAATTCAAGTTGGCCAATGTTATCCTTAGCATTAGTAATTTCTTTCATTCTACTGATTTCTTTAAGGCAGCAGTTCTCAAGTAGAAGTAACCCATCAGAATCAACTGGGGACCACTTTGAAAATACACATTCCCAAGTGTCATCCCTCAGAGACTGATTTCACCATATCTGGAGCGAAACCACAGTACCTGTGTTTTGAAAAAAACTCCTCCAGTGATTCTTACTGCTAGTTGAGGATGACTGCTTTAAGGGATGAATTACGTACTTGTTCTACTGACTAGAAGAGCTCTTACTTGGCTTGCCATTGCTGAAACTGTCATTATAGCACATAAAGCTGTCAGTAGCAAAGAGGAAAACTCCACATTTCATTACTTATAGTAAAAAAAGTGAAGGAAATCTGATAAGATTATCTATTCAAAGAACATGCAACCATACTTGAAAAGACTTTATATATATTTATTTTAAAGTGTTCATTTAGCACAAATGGTTTTGAAAATGTATAAAAATAATTTATGTATTAATCCATCTTTAATATGTACATGGTCCCTTAAAAGGATTTTCATTTCATTATCATGAAAAATGTATTTCAACAACCTCCACAGTATTATTAAAAGTCAGAAATTTTAAGATTTTCTAATAGAAAAGTTTTAGTACTCACCTGCAGAAAAATAATGAAACTGGGAATGATTTCACTAATATTTTAAAATATAATACAGTCTCAGCTATGCTATGCCACATATCATAAGAAAAATCTTCATCACTAAACCGTAATAATCCCAAGTGGTGGCATTTTCATTTAAGAACAAAGCACAAAATTATTTTATAAAAGAAAATGTCTCATCGTAAAAACTTATAAAGCTGAATGCTTTAAACAAAATAGCTGCGGTTTGATTTCACAATATCAAGTTTCCATAAGCACTTTGTAAACATACACCCATTGTAGGCTATCAACTTAAAGCCAATTATCACTAAAAGAAGATAGAGTAAAAAAAATATTTCAGTGCAAAAGTACATATCAACTGAAGTTATCAACTGACTTAAGACAATTTTAATACAAAAATCACAGCTTAAATCCCATAATATAAAGTAATCCTATAAAGACTTTAAAAGAAAAAGCTCTACAACAGTTATTAAGTTTTCCTTTTGTTACTATTCTCTAGTAAAAGCTTTCTTTTGATTAGCTTTCACAGTGTCATCAGGAGATGCTGATTTGAAGTCAAATGGTGTTATTGCTATAAGAGGACTTATTTCTTTGTCCTTTACGTCTTGAACTTGTCTACTATAAAGAAAAGTCTTATAGAGGTTAAGGGTGCGTCGCTTGCAGCTTTTCAATGGGTAACGAAGACACAGTGTTGCAGCAAAAGCTGAAGGTCTGGCAGCAAGGGCCTTCGTCCAAGAGACAGAAAAAGGTGGTTTCCTAGTCAGAGAGCCTTTACTGTTTTTCTTATTATCCTCAGAAGAATTGGAACTTTTCCCTAATTTTGAACTTAGAACTTTAGTTCCTGGTATTGGAGCAATTGATTGGTCTACTACAGGTTTTGGAACAAAATCTGGGGCTTTTATGAGGACACTAAGATCGATATTAGAGTCTATTCCAGGTGACCTCATTTCACATAAACTGAGCATACAGGAATCTTTCTTAATCTGAGAGCTATCTATATCAATTGTTTCTGCAATCAAATCAGAAAGTGACAAATTCTCAAGGTCTCTTGTTGGAGAAGCTTTACAAAACGCCAAAGATGACAGAGATCCTGTTAATTCTGATATTCCAGTCGAAGACTGATACCGATTTGCTAGTTGTGACAAGGGAAAGGATCCCAAACTTAGATCTGTGAAACTGGCAGATGGTTGGTTACAAAGATCAGATAAAGTAGAACATTGGCTCTGATTGTTCTCTTTGTGCTCCTGAAACAGTTCAGCTAAGGATGGACTTTCACATTGGGAAAACTGCAAGATGTCATTTTTTAATATGCAATTCTTGGTGCTTTGTTCAACTGAAGAAACACTTCCAACTTCAGTCATTTTACTAGCATTTAAATTACCAACAGCCATATTTTCCAATGAGCTAGTTAAGAGCAAAGGATTATTTAAACTTCCTAAACTGTTTTGTACTGGAATGTTTTGCAAATCAGGTACTGAATTATTCTGAATAAATAAAGAGTTATTAGGTGCTGTGCTCTTTATCATCAAGGATTTTAAATCTGGTATTCCTTTGAACGCAGAATCATCTTTGGAAATACATTCAGATGCATGAGGTCTTAACAAATCAGCATCTAGACGCTTTGAAAGTAGACTCTCCAGACTATCTGTGGATGATAATCTGACTGATGGCTGACTTTTACAAGAATCTCTTGGCATATCATCAATTAGGTCAGCTAGCGACAGCTCTTTGGTTAACTTACATGATTCTAGTTTCTTTTCACTTTTAGGTCTGTCAAGTTTCTTTTTTTTATGGAGTAAATAGTGACTTGGTACAACCGAAGAATTATGATATAATCCATATTTCGCTACTGGGCCAGAAAAATCAAAGGGTTTGCTACTGCAATCCAAATGGTTTGCAGATTGAGGACAAGAGCTTTGAACATTATCAGCTGAAACTTCAGAGGAAGATAATAAGACTCCTTACCTTACAAGAGCCATTAATTTTCAGATGAATAGGTTCACATATGCAGAAGACAGTCACAGCAACCAAAAGGAAACATGAAATGAGGCATTTAATTACTAAATGTTTCTTTTGATTATGGCATGATGACACTTGATCATTATTTAATAAAAAGCGAACATTCTTAAAAAAAAAAGGATTTTACCTTCCTTTAACCATCTTAAGTGACCTTCGTACCTTGTTCACTGATATATACAAAGGTAATTACCAAGTTAGTCAATGTTCTAATTTTCACAAGTTTTATAAATGTGAGGTTTTAAGATACTTAAACTATAGTCAGGATTGTCTCAAATTCAAAACGTTTAAAAAAACAATGGAAATAACTAGGTTCATCTTCTGTATTTTTAATGTATTAAAAACATGCAAACAAATAATACCCTATAATTTCTACTGTGATCTGGGATAAACTATTAATATAGTTGACACATTACAGACTCATTCTCATATTACTGGTCAGTTAAAAGTGCATCCCACCCCCCCCACCAAAAATAAAAAAAATTTAAATTTACATAAAAATCACCCTTATTTCATAGTAACAGACTGTATACAATTTCGCTATGGCAAAATCTAGTCTTTAGGTTATGAGAAATATCAACCCAGTTAACAAATCACCATGCTCCTACTGACAGGCATCATACCAATTAATATAATTGGTTCCCTTCTCTTGTGGACTAAGTTCTAAATTTAACCCCAAATACTAAAATTTAAAATTAAAGATCTGGCTATGAAATGAAAGAGTAGTAGAATTATAATACTTAGGATATTTAAATAAAACTAAATTATATTCATAAAATGTTATAACCATAAAAGGATTTTTTTGATATTGTCTGGCTATTAATTTCTATCTCCTGACCCATTAAAGTTAAAAAAAACCCAATAATTAAAAGCAAAAAGTGTTCTGTCTTGCTGTTATCTAATTTTATTTCCCTTATATTCTGTTAGTTGCAAGAACAAGCAGGGAAATAAAAAAACAGGCTTTAACAGAGTGAAGGGAACACAGCCATTGAGCTTAAAAATTCACCAACTGGAAAATCAATTGATAATAATTAAGAATTATTATAACATGCAAAATTTTCTGCCCATTTTTCTTAACAGCTCAATCAAATCAAAGCCTCTTTCAAAGCATTAATTGTAAAACTAAAAGAGAACAAGTAGGGCTTCCCTGGTGGCGCAGTGGTTGGGAGTCTGCCCAAAAAAAAAAAAAAAAAAAAAAAAAAAAGAACAAGTAAAAGCATACCTTTTGCTATCTTTCCTGTAGATATTGCTCCCTCACTCTTGACCTTCAAATTCTGCATTTTATCTTGCTCCAGAACCACTGACAAAGCCTTTTGCACATCAAACTTGTTCTTCAGAACTGCTTCAATCAATATGTCATCTGGCACAGCATCTCCAAGTACCTCTCTCATGTGATCAAGGCATGAAAAAAGACGAGCTAGAACAGACAACAATAATTAAAAGCTACACTATGTGGTGTCATGAAAGAACCCTCAATCTTCAAAACTGAAAAAAGGATTTGAAACTATAGTAGGATGTTCAACTCATTTTTCATTGGCAAAAATTACAGTGATTGTATTTTTATCCACAATATACCTAGCTTCCCTTATCAGAGGAACAATTTCAATAATTAAGAAATCACTACAATAAATGTCTCCAAAGTAATATTGACTAATCCTTGAAAAAAGCATAAATTGTATACACTAAAATCTATTTCAGTCAATGAGGATGATGAGGTCTATACTAATGAGTTTTTACGTGTGTAGAAAGGGAGGGTTAATTATGAAAATATTTCTAACTAGTTAGTGAACCCAGTTAATCACTAAGTATATTTCTTAAATTTCTTGCATTACTACCTTAACTATTATTAAGTATGTTCTATTTTAGGCTAACTTCAGTTTCTACTCAGCCGACTAAAATCATCCTTAACAATGCTTTAAAAATGGGCAAGATAACTTGGCATAAAAATGCCATAAATATTAGGAAATCCAATAGATTAAGGAAATAATGGACATTTCTTTTTTTTTGGTCATATCGCACAGCATGTGGGATCTTAGTTCCCCAACCAGGGATCAAACCCGCGCCCCCTACAGTGGAAGCATGGATTTCCAGCCACTGGACTGCCAGGGAAGTCCCTGGACATTCATTTTAAACACAAAAATTTAAATCGCAATGAAGAGTAGGCCCCACTCGCTGCAACCAGAGAAAGCCCGCGTGCAGCAACGAAGACCCAACGCAGCCAAAAATAAGTAAATACATTTAAAAAAAAAATTTTAATCTGTATGTCTAAAATCTTTAAGGATTTTTATTTTCTCAGGACTATGTTATTATAAAAAGTAATTACTAATAACATTCAATAATGACGTAAATTCCATGAGAGCAAAGGCTTTATATCCCATGATCCTAAAATAGTACCTGGTACCTAGGGGCCACCAAATAAAAATGCATGAATATATTAATTTATATTTGTATAGCAGTTGACAATTTTCAAAATATTAATACATATATATGCATTATACATATACACATATGTATATATACATCCTTTGTAATCCTCACAGTAACTCTATGACTTAGATATATCAAATTCTAAGTCATAAAGAGGACTGAAAATCATGGCACTACTAAGTTTAGCAGTAATCAAAATATAACTCAAGTTTTCAGACTCCCCAATCCAGTGAAACCAGTTCACAGAATGCACTGTACGTTTTTACATGCTTACATATTGAACAAGGAATCTACTCGCAATATCCTTTCTTTTAAAAAAAAGAAGTATTTAATACTTTTTCCATTGCTCCCTTTTTTAATTATTAAAAATAAATTCTCAAATATTTGGGTAATTCTGCTTTGCTTGAGTCCAAAATTAATTATAGGCTAATAAGCTAAACTTGAAAAATTATACCTATTTCATAAATACATGAATTACTAAAACTGGAACAGAATACTTAGTATATAGCTAGCATCAGGGCCTCTTCTAATTAATTATAGTAACTGTTGTCTACACATACACAAAGAGCAGACATACAGAGTCAGGCTGTCTTGGTTCATATCCTAATGCCACTTACTAGCTGGTGCAACTTCAGCCAAGTAACTTTGTGTCTCATTTTCTTCCCCTGTAAAATGAAGACAATACCTGGCCTACCTCATAAGGTTGTTATGAAGACTAAATATGCAATTACCTGAACAGCACTTAGAACAATACCCAGAAAGCAGTTAGTAGAGGTTAGCTACAATCATTATTATTATCATGCAATTACTCACATATGTCAGGTGGGAATGATTAACTTTCATTCTCAAACATAACTCTGAATTTCACACCTCCTTAATCATTCTGAGGTACAGCAGAGATTCTACTTTATTCCTACCCTCTCCCCCCACAATGACAACTATAACACATTCTTTAAAAATATAATCGAAACTATCAAGGAATTTATACAGCAGCTCCTCTACAAACTTTTATCCAGATTGACAAATGTATTTGCCAAGTTGATGAATTTTTTTATTCTCTGTTGTTTCCCTTTCCGCTTTCTAATTTTGTATATTTGTGCTTTCTCCATTTTTCTTGATTTGGGTAGCAGCTGACATATATTTTTCCAATTTATTCAAAGATCAGCTCTCAGATTCATATACTCCCCCCTTCCTGTTTTTAAATTGTTATAAATTTTCAATTTACAAACATTTCTAGAACAAAGCCACACTCCACAGAAAGAGCAAATCAGCTCAGCCCTGCTCACTACCAACGGATGGCATTACTGTTATACCTGGTGATTTTAGGTCTACTACATTGTTCATCAATCTATAGCTTGAGTAGTATGTTTGAAACAATGTCATATTCGAAATTTATTTATAAAAGGCAAAAACCAAAATATAAAATATCTTTGTTAAAATGTTTAAGAGAACTAAAAAGAAGCAAACTCAGAACCAATGCCATTACCATTTACGAGTTCTACCTTGAAACTTAATTTACATGACTGTGACCAATCAGGACACTATATAGTATTACTTCAGACTTAAATTTTTTTTTTTTTATAAAAACCAGACTTTTGGAACCTAACATTTTGCAAGGAAATGAGCTTCTGTAGTCTAACCATAAGCTCTACACAGAGCTTATGAAACAATAAATATTGCTAAAAGAAAAATAATCATTGAAGTTTCTCTCCTAAGGAGATTTCAATCAAAAATTCCAGTTATTAAATAACAGTCACACAATTTTTCAACCAGTTAACCATCCAGTCCTCACAAAATATAATAAAATGTAAATTTTCCTTGAAGATATAAGATATAATGGTAGTTCATACCATTACTACCCATGATCATTATTATGAACAATAAAATTGATAGTTTCTGGTAAGCTGATTATTAATCATTTTCAGATAAGAAACATAGATAGACTACTTTTTACTATACCTTGATCAATTCCGCTTAGCTGATGGTTCAAAAGAGAATTGGAGGATTCTTTCAAATCTTCATAATCATATTCTTCAACAGGTTCAACAACTGAAGGTTTGTCACGTCGTGAATAAATAAACTGAGCAGCTAAAATATACAATGATTAAAGAATGCTGTACTATAGCCATTTCCCATTAACTTTTTTCTTTAACAAAAGTTAAAATAAAAATCAAAGATTCTGACCTACCACCTACAGCCATTTGCCCACATTTATAATAATGGATGAAAACAAAGACAAAACATATCACACCCAAATTCTGCTCAAATGTCCTTACTGGCCACTCACTAGCCTCTTATAATTGTCTCCCTTCTTTCCTTCTATCTCATAAACACTGAGCTTACTTTCTCCACAGTTTTCAAAAATTATCTTTCCTAATCCTTGCCTATTATTCCATCTTCTCTGAAATTCTTTCTTTGAGACAAATACTTTAAACCTCATATCAAATTTGTTCATTTGCATAATTTAAAAATACCAAAAACAGACTAGATTTTAACTTTCCAAGAACTACTAATTTTGCCTTAACCCAAGAGCTGACCAAAATCATAGGCCTTAACTTTTTTTTTTAACGATTTTTTTTTGATGTGGACCATTTTTAAAGTCTTTAGTGAATCTGTTACAGCACTGCTTCTGTTTTATGTTTTGGTTTTTTGGCCACAGGGCATGTGGAATCTTAGCTCCCCAACCAGGAATCGAAGCCACATCCCCCTGCATTGGAAGGCAAAGTCTTAACCACTGGACCGCCCAGGAAGTCCCCATAGGCCTTAACTTTTAAACAGTTTATACTTCAATCGTACACTAAGACTGTATATCAGTGTCACATACCTAACTTTGACTTTCAGACAGAAGTCTGTGCTACTCTGCAGTACTGGCAGTGTCATTACTCAATATATAACTGGGCATTATATTTTTCATTAATAGGTAGAAAGACAAAATATCAAAGTGCCAACATATGCTTGAGTATCATACACGAAATACGTGTGAGCAAAGGAGAGAATCATCATGAATGCCCAAAGTGTTCACTCTTCCACGTCAACTGGATGCCTACTGAACTCAAGTCCTGGAGAATGTGTTCAATTGCCAAGGAATAAAATTAAAGAATAAGCTTAAGAAGGATAAAAACATCAGTACAATATTCTAAAGGCAAGGTGTTATCAAGGATTTTATATTATTTAGCTTTCTGGAAGAGCACATAACATGTATGTCTATTGCTCAGAGTTCCCACATTTGACTTTTGTGCATGTTTTCAGGAAGGCACTATTCATGAAAGGGAATCTCTAACTGCATTCAAAATGTATAGATAACACATATATAGACAATAGAAAATACTATGACTTAAGGGTAACACCTATACTCAGAAGATCATGGCGTAAGTGCTATTTATTTATAGTATAAATCAATGATGGCCTTACAGATTAGCAGGAAAGGCAAAAAAAGAAAAGGTAATGACATATTTTATAAAGCCAAATGAGTAGTACAGATGACAAGTGCTACAGAAGCACAGAAGATTAAGTAATCACTGAAGACTAGAGCAGTTATAATAAAGAAGGCAAGAACATCAGAAAAACTGAAGAAGAGGTGGAAGACATCCTGAACAAGGAGAACAGAATAAGAGAAATAAAGAGCAGTTGAGAGAATTCAATCTATTCTGCTATAATGCATGTTTCCTTAACACAAACTAGTTTATACCAAATGGTGAACAGGGGAATGATGACAGTAACATTCAAGTTGCTTTGGTTTATGAGATTTCCCCCCAACACTTTGTAATGCAAATACAAAGTTCAGTAACACCAATCATAGAACATTATACTGTAATTGGAATTGTACTTTAATGCCAGATAGCCCCACATTCCTCCTCTTGGCTCCATTTGGCCATGTGTCCTGTTTTGTGCATGCTTACCGCTTGGCTCTTTGCTTTTGCAACATTACTCATTAGTTTCAACTCTTCCTTACACCTCTATCAAGCTTTCACCTTTTTGTTAAATGTAAAG